GAATTCTGGGAGTTGAAGTCCACTCATCTTAAAGTGGCCAAGTTTGGACAACACTGTACTAGGAGGTGTGGCAGGAGAAGACAACATCAGGTATTCTCAGGGGCAGCTGTCTTCCTATGCAATAGCTTGCCCCCTCAGGTGACTGTGATCCCCATCCTTATGGCATTTTGGCAGCTAGTAAAAACCTGGCTTTTCCAGAACACCTTTAGGGACTGACTATAAAGCCACAATTGCTTCTCTGTGAGTCAGTGCATGTATGCATGAATGTGTGTTTTATTATTACTTGTTATATTTTATTATTGAAAAAATTAAATGTATCTTATTCTTATTATTTTAATATCTGAAAACTGCCAAGAGTCCATAAGGATTAAGGAAGTAGATAAATTGCATGAATAAATTGTTCCGAGGGGTAAAAATAATACCATCTAGTCTGAAGACGCTGTTTACAGGACAACCTGGCATTATTTGAACATAAAAATAGCTGTGGTTTGGTTCATTTACAAATTACTTTCATTTTATTGTTTGTAGTGGTTGTGGGAGAGGGGAGGAAACCACATGTGTAAATATGAGTTCCTAGAAAGAAAGTTATGAATGCAATGAATAAGTTTTTATCATGTTAGGCATCAATTTTCGATTAAATAGTTCAGTTTTCTACTATTTGCCTATATCCCATGATGAGACACTGACTATTGGACATTATTAATTTAAATACAGTAATGGATATCTCTTCCCTAATTTTAGAATTTATTACTGTATTTAAATTAATAATGTCCCACAGTCAGTAAAAAAAAATGAAGCTGAAAGGAGGCTGGATATTTCAGCAAGACAATGATCTGAAACATATCTCCAATTTAATCATGAAGTAATTTAATGAAGGAAAGATGAGATTTTGGAATGACTTTCATAATCCCAAGACTTGGATAGTACCGAAAATCTGTGGGGAGATCTGAAGCATGCAGTGTATGCAAGGAGACGTAAGAATATTTCTAAGCTAGAAGAGTTCTGCAAGGAAGAGTGGGGGGAAGAAAACCCCAAAAGCAAGAATAGATTGTTGGCTATAGGAATGTTTGGAAGATGTTTTTTTCTGCCAAAGGAGATATTACAAAGTCATGACTGAAAAGGTATCCAAACATGTGCACTTGTCACATTCACTGTTTTAAACAATGGTAGAATTTGGTAGACCTCTGTGATCTTGCCTATTAATTCCAAGCTTCTCCAAAGCCACCAGTAGAAGAGTATTCCAATCTGGAGCAGTCAGAGAGCAAATGCTCTTCCATTCATTTATCTGGTGTTCTTCAAACAAAAAGATCCCAAAATCCAGAATATTCTGGGTTAAAAAGATGATATGGTTACCCCTAGATTCAAGATTCTATTGAACTGGGTAATTTAATTTGCCTTTATTCATATGCTATGACTGCAACATGCAGTTGCTGAAAAATCCCTTTGGATTATTATTAACATTGTCACTAATAATAATTGTTCTTAATGAAGGAAGCGTCTACTGTGTGAAAGATGACCAATTGTCTCCACATGTCTGAGTGTAAGTCCTAATATGTTGACAGCATGGTATTTATTATGTAGCAGGATACTGAAAAGGCTGTAGAAAGACCATATTTATCTCAGTTATTCTAAATTAATTTACTTCTGATGCTATCCAGCATGATTTATAGTTGAATTTAAAATGTCAGCTCCTATAATGATTATATGGGTTTAACTTCAATTGTTCCAAAAGCATGATGCATTTATACTTTATGAAAAATGATAGGTCCATAAGGCACCAGCACAGTTAAGCGCGGTGGAACTAAAAAGATACAAGCAAAAATCTCCAATCTAAATTCCCTGGTGTATACACCTAGGGTGAGACTAGGGAACTAACACATCTCTTATTTATAGCTAATGCTTCTCCTACAACTTGTCCGTGTCTAAAGGATCAAGAAACCTTACTTCATAACACCCTCTTCTAAGGCTGAGCAGCACCACTCCTGGAAGACCACTCTAAAGATTGCACTGGGAGCGCTTTTACTTCGGGCTTCGCAGGAGCCTAAGGGGCCGTCCGCTGCGCCATCTCAGATTGCACAACCATGAAATGGGCGAGGAATTCTCCTTCGTGGCGTCGGCTTTCCCTGACGATTGCAAGCTTCAGCATGACGCAGAGTTCCTCCTTTGTCACGCCAGCGGCCGGCGTTCGTTTTCAAGTCTGCGCAATTCCTGCGTCGCTAAATACGGGAACATCCGAAAACGTCGCCTCGTTAGGTTTGAAACTTTCGGTGGAAGATTTCAAGGTTAGGATTAGGGTGCAGCGATTCCCGAGCACCACCGCAGCTTGGCCGGGGTTTGCCCCGTACGAAGTTGGAAGGAGGAGAACCTGAATGTCTTTTCCGCGCGTCATGAAAGAAAGCCCACCTGCTTCCAAGTTGTAGCGCGCCGCGGCAGTTCGGCAGCAGGATAACGGAGGGGGCTCTTCTCCCACCTACGCCTTCATCTCCCCTCCTGCGGTGGAGAGCGAAAGCGAAAGCCGGGAGTGGCTCCGCCCCGCTTGCTGCGGCTGGAGGGAGCAGGGAATGCTTGTCAGCTGCGGGCTGGGCGGCTCCAGATCCGCGCTCCTGATCGTCTTCTCCCCACCCCGTCCTTCCCTTGGCCTGTGGGAGAGTCGTCGCGGCAGAAAGCAGATTGCCCTCCCCTGCGCCTGCTGGACATGTGGGTGCTACGCGTGTGCTGGGTGCTGCTGGGCACTCTGGGTGCCGGTGAGTGTTGGCTTCTTGCTTCTTTTTCGGCGCTCGCCCTCGGCGGCGCTCCCCCCCGCCCCAACTGCTGTAACTCTCCCTTTTATCTCTCGTCCTTTCGCTTCCCTCCGGGTCACAAAGCTACCAGGTGCCCTGCGCTCTTTGCTCCACGGCGACTTTGGAGTAGCTGCGCAGTTACTGTCCCTGTTTCTGCTCCCCCGTTTTCTGAAGCCCCGGGGGACTGAGCGGGGGGGGACTGTCTTTGGGGCTCGAAGGACGGTAGAGGTTTACGGCTCTTAAAAATGGGAGCGAGAAGGAGAGAAGCTCGCGCCCGCCCTGGCTGGTGGGACTTTAGCTTTTCGTCCTATCTGTCGGCTGCGCCATGACAAATAAGGCTTGGTTTGTTTGGCTGGAGCGTACCGCTGCCTTGCACCACGTCCCCTCCCTTCCCCATTCCCTCGAGCGAACCCAATTATTTCGACGGGCGTAGGGTGCTGAGCTCTGGGATTGGCTACCTCTTTTAACGCCTGATGCTTCCCATACGCTTCGCTTCAGGAGTCCTGCTGCTCCGAATGTGCGGTGGCAGAAGTGACAGCAGGCTTGCGGGTGGGGGTTGTGAATGTGACTCCGACGTTGACTGTGCTTCGGAATAGGCAGAAGACATTTAGGTGTGCCGCTTTCTCACCCTCTGGTTGGTTTGGTTCTGGTTGGTTTGCGACACATTTCTGTTTTTCCGGCTAATCATTATGGCTGATGGCTGCTGCCCTTGGAAGAACCCACCTAAACGGTTGTGACAGCGTATAAGCCAGTTCTTCTTTTTACGATTAAAACTTCGGAGCACGTGTGCACAGCAACTTCCCACACTCTCCGAATTGCACATTAGCAAAGTAGGGAGAGTATCTTTGTAGGTGAAAGTAGACCAGCATTTTCTCTTCCCTGGGCCACTGCCATATCATCATGGGAAAGAGAAAGCCTGAAAAATCTAGTTCAGGCTTTCACTATTGCATGTACAAAACACATTTCCCAGCCATGGGGTGGGGTGGGGGTGGGGGGTGGGAATAGTGTAATCTCAAACCCTTGTCTACGGATTTTAAGATTAAATGAATCATACAGAGTGACAACATTGTGCTATCATACTTTTAGTTTGACTCTTAGTTAAGCCATTTTGTTGCAAGCAAATTGTTGAGTTATACAGGTATTATGAAAGCCCAAGTTATGCATTTCACACAGTTCTTCTGTAGAAATGGATGTAATAAATAATCTTTGCCAGCTTCTAGCTTTTTGAGAATAACTGAAGTTGGCAAGCATTCTGTGATGCTTTTAACATTTACTGTTAAAGATTTATTGACAACTTGGCTTTGTTGATTGGACAACAGGGTTCAGATTCCCAAACCAAACTCTTAAAGTCTTATTCCTGTGATTTGGAAATACCAGTAGGCTTTTTTTCTTCTAATGGAAGGATACCTCCAGATTGTCACCTTATGAATTGTTCTCCTGAGCTTGGTACTCCCCTCAGATGTGTTGGACCACAACTAAGATCAGTTTGACCATGGAACCAGTAAACCAGTGAGGTGGTGATCTCCACTGGATGTATTCAGGCAGAGTCTAGAGAGCTATTTCTCTGGCTGCTTTAATTTGAGTTCATAGTATAAGCAGGGGATTGGACTTAATGCTTAAATGGGTATAGTGATTCCATTACTCTACAGTTTCCACAGTCCCCAAGCAAAACTAACTGAGATAGTGGGACTACAGTCCAATACAACTGGAGAACACCAAGTGCTGCATGATACTTAAGTTCTTGTAGATATTAAGATAATTAAACAACATCTGATATACATGGCTATTCCTGGGATTTCAGTGAAGATTAATAACATTTCTTTTGCAATGGACAAGAATGTGTGTTTTTTCCCCCAAATGGAAATCTTGTTCTACTTTAAAATATATTTTTTTGAAATAGTACACTTTAATCTGATATATGATTCATTTTCAAAATTCCCTCACTTCTGATAAAAATGAAACTATACATACTTTCTTCTCCACTTTAATTTTCACAACAGCCGTAAGTAGGTAAGTTAGAAAGAGATTGACTGACTCAAGGTCATCCAGTGAGATTCATGGATGATCACAGAAACAAAATTATCTTGGAGATCATCTCATCCAACCCCCTTGCCCAGTGCAGAAATTCACTTTTACAGCATTTCTGACAGATGATCATCCAGCCTCTGTTTATACAGTACATTTCCAGTGAGGGACAGTTATGACAGTCTGACATAGTTCCTGTTAGGAAATTTTCCTGAATCTACTTCCTCATAATTTAAACTCATTGTTTGGTTCTTTCCTGTCTTTTGAAACATATCTGAACAACTCTGCCCTGTCTTCAGCATAACAGTTTTTCAGATACATAAAGACAAGTAAGATCTTCCATAGTTTTTTCTTCTCCAGGCACCTCCAACTTTTCTAAGTTTTTCCTCCAGCCTTTTATCATTTTGGTTGTTTTCCTCTGGACATGCTATTCCTGTTTAATGTTGTACCTGAATTGCAGGGTCTGGGACCTGACCCAATATTCTAGCTGTGGTCTGCTTGATGCAGCTTAGAGATGAACAGTTACTTCTCTTGATTTGGCCACTATACTTTTATTAATGCAGCCTAGCATTGCATTTGTTTTTTATGCAGCTGCATTACACTGTTGGCTCATGTTATGGACTGAGATACTCAGAACCTTTTTGCACATACTGTTGTCCAACTATTACACCTCCCCCATCCTATACTCATGCCTTTGATTTTTCCTACCCAAATGTGGGACTTTGTATGCTATCTCTGTTGAATTGAGATTCATCTTGCTATTATTATTTTTTTTTGCCTAATTTTCCAGCTTGTAAAAATTCTCTTGAACCTTGTTAGCATCCTCAAAGGTAATTGCTACCCTCCTATGTCATCTGCAAATTTGAAAATAATATTTTCTAGTCCCTCATTCATGTCATTTATACATATATTGAGTCAAGCCCTATGATATGCCACACTTTCCTCCAGCTTGACTTGATATTTATTAATTTGTTTGTTTCTTTTACAGTCAGACCAAATAAAACAATAAAAGGGGAAATGGATTAAAAGATTAAAGAGGAAGAAGAGCGTAGAAAGAAGGGGTGTGTATGTGCATGTGCAGGAGGGTGGGTATGGAAGGGTCAGTGGGAGCTAAATAGCTAGGGTTGGGCTCAAAACTATTTATGTTAAGCCCATTGCCTTCTAACTGCAATTGCATGTGATAGTGATGAATTTCATGATCTTTGTGGTGATTACCCTGGACTGATCTCTCAGTAGAAAGAGCACAGAGGGAGGCCATTCCAAGCATATGCTGATGAGTAGGGTGATTAACTCTAAGTGCTAGCAATGATATGGGGCAACTCAGGAGGACAGTATGTCTCAACCTTTGCTTCTGAATAGATGCAAATGCATTCTTGAAAAGGGATGTTGTTAAATCTCCTCTCTATTATTTTTGAAGGTAGGGCATCAAATCTTGCTAGGGTGAATGCCCTTCTATGTAACGCAGAGAAGGCATTGTAGAGGTATTGGAGTGTCGATGAAAGTGAGGTAGCAGCAATGTGAGGAATTGGTTCTGTCAGCTTACAGATCTGAGTCAAATACACTTTGCTTGACTTCAGCCATGGCTTTCTCTACTGTTATCATAAACAGAGCATGAGGTGAGAGTGCACAGTAAATCAAATCAGCATCTATTTGCCTCTTCCAAGAGGAGGTGAATTTGTCAACTAGGATAAACTGAGCTAAGGAACCATGCTTCCAGACTTCCATGTTTCCAGATTTCAGCTAGTAGGTTCTCATTCTGGTCTTTACTGAGGCACAGCTTAACTCTAGCTGGAGAAATATATTAATCACTGTGGGGGAAGCATGGGGCATGGTTCTCTGGAATTCCAATTAAATGGATTCCAATGTTGATGTGTATCCTGTTTCAGGTTTCAAACTCTCTCACTCGCACACAGTTGCTAGGTGATAATAGCAATATATTCAAGGTTATTGAGTAGATAAATGGCAGCTAAGCAAAGGAATTTAAATCAAAGCAGAGTCTCTTGGAAAGAAAGCTTGCCTGAGTAGTTTCATTTTTAACAGGAACACACAGAAGATAAGTCAAAATGTAATCCAAAGTCTACAGAGCCAAACCAAGTTTATCAGCTGGTCCAAAGGTCAGAGTTTCAGGGTTTTTTACAAGAATGACATGCCAGAACAGGAGATCAGATGGTTGTTTCCAACAGAGAAACATGAATCAGGACTGTTCTTAAATCAGGCTGCAACCAGCTATCTTTAATTCAGACAATTACCCCTTTGCATGGCAAGGAGCCTCACTGAGCATCTTTGCTCTGCTCTCTGCTCTATTTGCCGAATCCAGGGACTTGGAGGACATACCTCATCTGTCTGATACAGCTGTTCTGATGGTGTTTGATCAGCCTTAGGTGATTCTTGGCTTGGTGTTTCCTGAGGTTGACATTCCACTGGTTCAGCTGGAGTAGCTTCTTCAGAGTCAGAGTCTGAATTCTGCTCCATGATGATGTGTTCTTGTAAATGCATAACTGAGCACTATGAAAGCAACTTGGGACTTGTGTTCTAAATGTGTAATTGCCAGGACACAGTTATAACCTTAGTAGCTTACAAATTTAATTATTATATTGGTGAGTTTTTGTGCCTGAATTGAGAGATTGCTGGTTTGGTGTTCCCATAAAGTGGAGAACTGGAATAAAATCCCTAGAGAGTGAATTCAGTTTCTGGTATGAATGTGACACCAGCACCCTTGATCACATGCGAATATCCTGATAGTTTATCACTTGGACTTTAAAAATCAGCTTCTGCCTGACAGTGACCACCACTCTTAGATACTTCATTCTTAGCCCAGCCTGTTATAGCCATCACCAGACTGTCTCACCAGCATTCATTCAGACAAGGAACCATTGACCCAAATGGTTTAATGCATCTTTAAGTGCAATCTTACAGTTTCTGAACCTATTCAAAGCACT